TGAGCTCATTCCTGCTGCCTCAGCCTATGAGGAGCCGTGGTCCAGCTTTGCCTGGAAATACAGGAGTCGGGAAGGTCTGGATGTGGATCCTGGGCACTGGTCCTCCGTGAAAGGCGGAGCTGTGCCCCCAACGCCAGGTCTAAAGAACCACAGTCGCTAGCCATAGAAGAGCTCCTGAGGTGTAGGCCTCTGAAGTCCCTACATTACATGAAAGATGAATGGGAAACTTTATCCTACTCTCTACTTAAAAATATGCTGTTACTGAGTTAAAAAGTTAAAAATTAACCTATGCGAAACTAGCTTGCCATTTCATTTCATAGACTTCTCATTTATTTCCTGAAAATTTCCCCTTATTTCCTGAAGACACTCAATTCCTTGATGAGTTTTCAACCAGCCTACTTGTTTCCTGGTTCAATATGTGCAGAAGCGGCCTGAACAAGTTTCCTGAGGGGAAAAAAACCTGCCATTGCCCCCTTAGTTAATATAAAATGAAGGAAGCTAGCCAGAGAAGTGGGGACATGGATAAAATCCATGCTTCATCACCCTCTCTGCCCTCGATTCCCTTGTCCAATACGAGGACCACACAGGAGTAAGGCAGGTCTGATCCAGCCTCGGGCCAGCTGCTCAGAGGCACCTGGTCCTTGACTTCAGATCTACGGGAGTAATAGTAGAACCACATGGCATAAACTAATCGAAGAATTGTACCCCAAAGAATCCAGAAAAGTAGAGGATCAGGATGAACAGAGTGAAGAACCCCGAGGAGGACATAACCCCTCTTTGGTGAGTAACTACAGCTGCAGAAACAAACAGAATATTTAAGAGTCAGGAGTCAAAAAGGAATCATACAGGCAGCAATATGCAGCTCAGCTCTGGAGAGATTCTGGCCTGCTCCTGATAGCCATGGACGCGCCTGACAATGCAGTTCATTTTTTCTTCTTTTAAGTTGAGACAAAATTAATATTAAATTGATCATTTTAACCATTATACAGTATACAGTTCAGTGGTTTCTAGTATATTCACAGTTAGACAGTGGTTCAACTGTTACTTCTGCCTAATTCCAGAACATTTTCATCTTCCCCAAAGAAATCCTATACTTAGTTAACCCCATTCTCTTGCCCTGAAGCCCTTGGCAACCACTAATCTACTTTCTGTCTGTACAGTTCCTTATTTTGGACATTTCATTTAATATATTGTAGTATGTATCGGTAGTTCACTCCTTTTGTGGGGGCTGAATCATATTCTATGGTCTATTCCTGAATATACAACAGACATGTATTACTGAAACCCACTGGCACAGCAGAGAGCATGAGCATACTCAGCTCTTGTCGGTGGGGGTGCTCCCCGAGAACAGATGACAGTATCTTTGCAAAACTGTTCACAGTTTTAATTTTGATGACCCCAGATCAAGCTTTCTGGTTGTGAATTCATAGCAGATTCTGTGACTAACTAGGGAATACCAGAATCTCACTTTTAAACACCAGGAGCCAACTTAAGCAGATTACACAAAAAGCCTTTATTAAAAAAGCCAGGGAAATTCTGGCTCAGGCTCAGAAAGGAGACTGGCGGGGAGAGGCATGAAAAGAGACAAATCATTCTGACTGAGGCTGTTCCTGCTTGAGATCCTGTTAAAACTACCAGCTGACTTTGGAGAGCTGCATGAAGCTGAAAAGAAATGCAGCTTCACGCAGCTCTCCAAAGGACTGATCGATTCAACAGTAATGAAACTCCCTGCATGGCAGAGTGGGGTTATCCTGTTCAAGTTCTCACGGGAAAGGCCAATCTGTCCTGCCCCACATACCCATTAAGCAAATTAAGGGTGTAGCCTGCCTCTGTGGATAAGTGCTATGTGTTTTCCAAAGGACAATATTTAGGTGTCTAATGTAGTTTCTTACTAAGTCAACAGGAAGATGATAAAGGCTACAGAGGTCTGAAGCCAGATCAGCATCGAGATCAAGTGTGACACCTGGTGGCTCACCAAGAAGAGAAATACCTTCACACTTCAAATATTTAAAAATTTCACACCATATAATGCAATATAAACTAATGATGTACCGTAAAAATTTTTTTTATCCTCATCCAAGATTATTTTCAATTCCTTTTTTTAGAGAGAAAGAGAGGAAGGGAGAGAAAGAAGCATCAGTGTGAAAGACGCGTGGATTGGTTGTGCGTCATACCCGCCCACACTAGGGACTGCAGCACCCGAGCTGTGCTACTGCAACCTGGGCATGTGCCCTGACCAGGAACTGAACCTGCAACCTTTAGGTTAGGGGATGACGCTCCAACCATTGAGCCTCACCCGCCAGGACAACAAGGTGTCTGTTTTTGACCTTCAAATCAGCAAATGATTTTTTTAAAAAGTCATAATACATGCTTGGGAGAATTCTGAGGAAGCAGAATAAAGCTGATAGGTACCACCTTTCTACAGGACAATGAGGCTTTGCTATCAAAAACCTTAAACCTAGAATTTCATGCTCCCATTAAATCAGTAATTCCACTGCTAAGATTATCTTAATGAAGCTATCACTGGTGTGTACAAAGACTTAGCGACCAATGTCTCTCTGTCATGGAATTGCTTATAATAGTGAGAAATGGGAAACAATGTAAACATTAAAAAATAGAGTAATAGTTCATAAATTAGGATATATCCATATATTTAAATATCTTCTGCAATATGATATGAGCATAACATTTCCATTAACAGGGAAAGAGGTGAATCATTTACTGCTCACAAAAAAGGAACACACTTTATATAAATATTTTGGTTTACAAGGAAGAAAAGAATCCCCACAAAAAATACAAGCTATGAACAAGGCAATTTCTGAGGGAGTGCAGCTATGCAGAACTTGCATTTTTTACCTGGTTTCTTCTGTGTTGAAAACAAAACTAACCAACTTAAATTTTAATTGGGGTGGAAAAATTCACAGAGCCAGCAAGAAAGGACAAGAGTCGACTATAAAACTATTTGAGACACCAAAAAGAGAGCAACAACCTCCTTGTCCCACGGCATAGAGTACGGGAAGCCAAGGCGCAGGCCACTGCCGCTCCCCCATTCCTCACAGTTTCGGGCCAGCCCAGGCCCCTTTCCCACAGAGGCCGTTTCAAATCTTCACACTCTTTTCTAGTTCCCTTCTCCACTCCTGGCCTCTTCACTCTCAACAGATGACTCCACATTCCGTGTGTCACAGAAGGAAAAGAGATGAGGCAGGAAGGAGGGAGTACCATGATCTTCAGGTACTTCCTCCGGCTCTCTTTCAAACACGTCCACGTGTGCACACACCGCTGGTGAGTCAAGGGGAGAGCATGTTTTCACTCTGCTTTACTACTACATCATACCACTGCCACAAGGTCAAGGAGCAAAAGGACTGGAAAACCCATTATGGTGCAATCAGGAGCTCAATCCTGACATTATTTCAACTGAATCAGAAAAGTGATGGGAAAGAAGCCAGACCATAGGCGATTGTGGGATAAGGAGGAGATGCTACCTTGAACTCATTATGAAAAGATAAGGGAATTATGAATAAATATATGCATTTAAGTGGGGATAGCAAGTACTGATGACTTTATTTTTCATTATAGTATAATTAACATAAGGTAAACTGTACATATTAAAAAATGTACAAGTTTTAATATGTAGATAGCCCACGAAAACATTACCACATTCAAGATAATGAACATACAGGTCACTCCCGAGTTCCACCATGCCCCCTTCTTTCTTCCTCTTGTCATTCCTTACCTCAGGGGTGTACTAAGGTGGAAGCCTGAGTCTTTCTGACTCCAGAGTGCTGAATTCATCCTTTCCCTTTTACCTTCATTAAACTGGGTTCAGATCCCAGTTCTCCCTTCTCAGAATGTGGCAATATCCCCAAGATCTCCAGTTTCATCTACATTGCTTTACCCACAACCCTTAATCCTGCCTCTAAACACCACTGCCTCTGTTGAGATCAAGGTCAAGTCCAAAATCCTCAACATGATATACAGGGTGCTTCAGAATCTGAATCCTGCTTACCCCTCAAACCTTATTTCTTACTGTGCTTCCACACAACTAAAGTACTTGTCAGGTACCAAATGTGCTATGCTTCCCAATTCCTATCCAGTGTCTTTTCACAAGGCTGTTTTCTTAGTCTGGAACAAACAACCCTAGACCTGCACCAGCTCCAGGAAACTCCTACTCATCCTTATAGACGAGTGGTTCTCAACCAGAGACAATTTGCCCTTCGAAAGAAAATGGCAATGTCTGGAGACATTTTTGTTTCTTATGACGAGGTGGCAGAGGAATGCTACTGACATCTAGTGGGTAGAGAACAGTCAGGGCTGCTGCTAAATGTCCTACAATGCACAGGATGAACCCCACAACAGAATTTTCTAGCCCAAATGTCAATAGTAAAGAGAGTGAGAAGCTCTGGTCTAGATTAAAACTCTAGCATCCCATTTTCTGTGAAAGCCTTTCCTGGCCACCCCCTGCCCCCAACAATGAGTCCTGGACTTTGTTGTCAGGTTTACCACAATACCACCAATATACCTCTATTTTAGCACGAATCTCACTGTGTGATAAGTTGAGTTACTTATCTGCTCTATTAAATAACTGCTTCAGAGGCAGAGACCCTCTTTTTCCCTATATATTTCCAGTGTGTAACAAAAGAGCTCATTCACTGTTTTGTATTTAAATTTTAAATAACTTATATTTAATAATGAATGAACAAAAGAGGGGAAAACGCACTATTCTCTTCACTCTACCACGAAACCCCTCAAAAATTACAAAAATAAAAAAACCTGTTTACTGTAAAAAAACCACTAAGAAATACAAAAAAGCAAGAAGAAAAAAACATTAAGGAATAAATGTTTCTGTAAAAAAAATTAAGACATATAAAAAAGCAAGAAGAAAAACACAAACAGAAAAGTAATTTTTAAATAGGCAGAGACACCATCTAAAGACTGAAAGAGGCACATTCAACAAAGTGCATTTGAGAACTTATGAACCCTAATATGTACTCTCTACTTACTTGAGAACAGCAATTTCTTGAACAGTAATGGCCCTTTTATCTTTGGTTCCCATGTAGGAGAATATGTTTGGCTTGACTCTGGAAAGATAAAAACAAGACTATCTGTAGTTGCATACCACTGGGAGATCATATTTTTCGTAATTTAAGATCCAAAATATACTTAAAATCGTAATAGATTAAGATAATAAAGAGAAACCACTTAAAAACGTACCCAGGAAAATGTAATTAATATACAAGATAAGAAGGTAAATGGTGCCTGAACAACTACCTTCTTGGCGGTGCTCAACTTCGAGCATTTGTGGCTCTAAGTCCATAACATGCCACTCAAAGACTTGGCTAGCCAGTAACAAAAAAGGAAGTAACATACTTCCTATTGATCGCATGCAATGCATTATATCACCTAAATGTGAAGGTAAAGAAAAACTCATTCTAGATATATAATGTACCACTTTGAAAATTTTATATCTTCAATTTTTAAAAAGTTAATAATGATATGACCTTTCTTTGTATAAAAAATGATGTATATAATAATGATGCTACTTCTTTGTATAAAAAAGCCAAAAGCTAAAACAGGGATCTAAATAATTAAGCCATGAAGATATAAATAAGCTAACTTATTAGGATGTAGTTTATAAAAACTGCTCCATACTAACAGGAAAACCCAGAGAGGACTTCTTGACCTCTGAGCCATCCTCAGGCCAGACCCCAGAGGAACTCTCTCTGCAACTGTCTAGCCTCCCATAAGGAACGGTCTTCTCTCCCAGGCTCTGGTACAGACAAGGTTCCACCAACTCTCTTCCAGAGAGCTAGCAACTAGGATGAGATAAAAAATAGGGAGGGTACTGTACTGTCCACTACGAACTGAACTGTTGTGTTCCCTCCAAATTCGTATGTTGAAGCCCTGACTCCCAGTACTTCTAAATGCAACTGCATTTGAAGATAGAGCCTTTGAAGAGGTGATGAAGTTTAAATGAGGCTGCTGGGGTGGGCTCTCATCTAATCTGACTGGAGTCCTAGTAAGAGGAGGAAATTTGGACACAGAGGACTCCAGGGACACAACGACAGAAAAGGCCATGTGAAGACACAGAAAGAAGGTGCCACCTGCCAAGGAGGAAAACAAACAAACAAACCTACAACACTTTGATCTCAAAACTTCTAACCTCAAGAACTGTGAGAAAATTAGTCTGTTAAGTCACCTAGTCTGTGATATTTTGTTATGGCATCCACAACAAATTAGACACTGTGCATCATGTTTAAATAGGATTAAATAAATACTAGAAAACAAATTTGTACTGCATGCAGATTTGCTGTGGTGCCTGTACTCATTTCTAAAAAATACCCCAAAATTCTTCAGCATCTGTTCCATCCTCTGAGACCCAATCTCTGCTACATTTACATCTCTTATGAGAAAATCTGACTGGTCTCCTGTTTGCAGTCTAATCAATCTCCTTACAGTTTAGTAAAGCAAACCTGTGCAACGACGTCAAAGTGCAGGCTTTCCAGGAAGAAAATTAATTTTTATGTTCAGTTGAATAGACTGGTTACTCTTTACTACATGTGAACTATTAACAGAATTTTCACCTTGAATCACTGGCAACATGCAAGGAAGTCAAAAACATTAATTCACCTACTGTGTAAGAAAACTATATTTGGGAGGCATATTTGCTATTTGTTTCCCTATTTTCCTGCTCCTTTCTCATTAGCATGGTAAAAGGAAAATAAATTTCTGTGTTTTGATTTTGTATAGGCACAAGAACACGATACTAACCTTAAATATTTGGACAGTACATTAATAGCATCCATGGTATCTTTGTTTTCCTTGTATAGTACAAAGTGGCAGTAACTTCCCCTAGATTTTGGCCAAGAATGTTTTCTTGGATCTTAAAAACAAAAGAAATAAATGTTATACACATTGCAATAAAAGTTATCTGTTTTTCCTTATGAAACCCTACAAGCTCATTTTTTGCTGGAGCACCTTTGAGAAATCAGATCTAGTCTGACAAGAAATACAGGTTGAGTGGTTACAGCTGTGCGCACTATATGTATTAAACTTTTTGCGATTGGACACAACATTATCTGTCCATATTTAAAATCAAAGGCTGAATGCAGATGGTGTGATAAAAGACTAACAGTAACCAGCAATCTTCACAAAGAAGCCCAGAGGAGTCCACCATTCCCTAGCAGAGTTATATTACAAGCGTATGTCTGACAGGTGGGCCGACTGGCTCTCTAATACACATGCAGTCCAGAGGGAAACAGCAGACAGGTTGGATTCTACAGCCTTGCTTCATACCCCCAGGTATTTACACATACAGGACAGACGCCTTAGATGGGCTGGGGATAAAACTTGTAAGGAGTTGCCTCAGTGACACGTTTAGTTTCCACAGGCCACTTCCATCACAAAATATCTAATACTAGTTGGTTTACAGAGGGAGCACCTGGCATTCAAGACCTAATGGTCATTCTCGGGGAAAAGGAAATGTTAAAAATTAAGCCAGGTTAAACGTTAACTTTTGAGCTACTGTTACTTTTTGGAAATGACTAATATTTCAAGACTGGAGAACTTGATTTTTAAAACTTCTTTAAATGAATATTTTACGTATCCTATAATATAGAAACATATTTAAACAATATTAAGATTTAGACTTAAGCTGCCCAAAGGATGTTTTGAAAAATCAACACTTTGGGAAAAATACCTAAGTTACAACTGCACTTCCCAGACATTGTACAATAACATTCGTAAATCTTGGGCGACACACAGCTGCAGTCATTCTTTGAACACATCTAATTTACTTGACTTCTGTCACTCCATGAAAGAAAAGCTTTGAAAAAATATTTCACATAATCCCTGGAAAAGTCTTTTAAATATGTTCCTGTCTTTGTCCCTAAAATAATCTATTAGCGTGAATTCATGCATCCGTCTTCAGAAATATAAAATACTTCTAGTACTCAAGTTATCTCTAGTACCGAAGCTACAATGTAAAGAACAAATGAATTAATAAAACATCTGGGAAAACTGCCAGGGCACAAATGCTCAGTGAACTGCCTTTCATTTTGATAAATATGAATGTGAATCTTTTCTGCCTTGGACGGAAAAGTATTACAGGTACTTCTTTGGCTCTTGGTGTGAACTCCTCACAACTCATCCTCAGAAAACTGTGAATAGGAATATCATTTTTGGTTTTCCTTTCAGCTCACTACAGTTCAGCAAAGTTGTCTACACTTGGTCCTTGTGACAAAAATCATTGGCATTTCATTTTATCTACATGAAACGCCAACTGCTCTTACCTGCTGTAGTTCTGACCTCTGTCCAAATGCACAGCATAAAGAGCACAAGAGAGCAATGTTTAATTTATAATAATATTAAAGTGCTTTAGAGGTGAACATGCAAATGACCGCATGGAGTTTCTACCAAGGACTTCTACAGCACCTGGTAGAATATGGTGGGTTAACAGCCATGCAGACATTAACAATGGAATGTCGCAGAGGCAAACAGTGAACAAGGAGAAAACTCACCTAAGGTACAAGGCTGCCTGCCTCAATCCCCTTGCAATGGCGTGTCTGCTCATCCTCAAAGCTGCACTGCCTCTACCCACCAGATGGAGCAAAAGGTTTAAGACTGGATGCAAAATGCTTCCCTGTCTAGAGATTTGTGCTCTTAAATATGGGAGAACACATACCAAATGCTCTTTGTGATTAACTTTTGGTGGTGAGACTGCAAGTAATTATTGTTTAGCTTTGTGTTTTATGAGTTTCCTGCACTGAGTTACAAAGATTCTTTATTTGAAAAAATTTGAAGTAATTATGGAAAACAGTTCTTGAACCAATAGATTCAAGAGATTTAAGAGACTTATCCATTGAATGCAATGTTCTCAACTTGTTTGTTTCATTACTGGAACATGTATGTAAAAGGCATTTTTAAGATAATCAGGGAAAAACTGAATATGCACTGGGTATAAGATATTAAGAACTTACTGTTGATTTTGTTGGATGTGATAATGGTTTACAGTTTTAGTCTTATCTGGTTAGATACAAGTATTTATGAGGGAAATGAAGTGCTGTATAGAACTTTCTTTAAAACATTCCAGTAAGAAAAAAAAAGTGAGAGGAACAGATCAAACAAAAACAGATGATGGGTACAATGGGGTTAATATACAACCTGTTTTATTTATGTGCATATTTGAAAATGTCCATAATAGAAAGTTAAAAAAACACTTGTGGTCAAAGTTGAAGTATAGCTACATTTTCTCCAAACAACCCCTTCAGTACATTCACAATAAACTACAATGGCAAGAAATAAATGAAGCCAGAAGGTTAAAAACTAAATGCTATGAACCATGACAACCGAGTATGAGTTTTGGCTCACAAGCATGCATCTTTCATTAGCATATCCAAGCACTGAGCATGCATACAATTACCCCCTTTGCAAGTAACAGACACAAAGATTCTGTTTCTAAATGCACTCATTTTACAAAATAGAATGTATTGATTGACAGAAAAAAATCTATGAGTCTCAACTTATTTTGGGTAGTTTATAAGCTCCAAATCCTTAGAATGCTAAGTACCATATGTGTATAGCTTTACAGTTTAAGTGAATTTAAAATAACTTTCAGACGTTTTTGAGGCACCCTGATTTAAAATGCTAATGTAAAGAATTCTGAGGCTGAGAGAATAGGAAGCAGCCTTCTGATAGTTTGCTATGGCAGCCCCAGTCTAGCAGAAATAGAAACCAAATAAAAGAAACGTTTGGAAAGATTCATGTACCGCAGAGACCCTTCATGAATAAGGAAGGAAAAATGTCTGTAGCTCAAGAAAGATGACAGGATGGGGTAGCATACAGAACATTCTTTCCTTCTTATTCCAGGCCATTTCCACTGCTGCGCCCTGCATGCCAGCCTTTCAGCTTCCGCAGGGATCCTGCTCCATCCTCTATCACTCCTCCCAGAATTTTCACCCTCCCTCTGCAATGGCGCTTTCCCTTCAGTATACCAGTATGCTCAGGGCACTTTGAAAGTCAAACCTATGTCTCCCTCTCCTTAACCATGTTCCCTTCCTCTCTCCTTCACTTTACAGCTTATTTGTAAAAGCAGTATGTACCATATTCTGCCATGTATAATGCACTCCTGTGTATAATACACACCCATGCGTTGTGTGCATTATACACAGGATTATTATATCCATTATTATACCCATGGCATTACTGATTATACCCATGTATAATGCACATCCTTATTTCCCCCTCAAAAATATGGGCAAAGAAGTGCACATTATACATGACAAAATATGTTCTTTACTACCTTTTACCTCAATCTACACTAGTCTTATTCCACTGAAACTGCTCTGGCAAAGACACTGCTGATTTTCATGTTGCTAAAAACTGATAGACATGTTTCAGAGTTCCACTTTGCTGGACCTATAGTAGTATTTTCCACTTCTAACCACTCTGGTTGCTGGAATTCCCTTGTACTGTGATTCCATCACACTAGCCTCTCCCAGAGAGTTTCCTTTTTACCCATCTGGCTCTTCCTCTTGAGTCTCTGTGGATTCCAGCTCCAAGTATCCCCACTGGGAACCATTCATTTCAGAAAGTATGGAGAACTTCTACATATCACATGGGAGAGTTTTGGTTTTTTCACTTGTCTTTAAAAAGAAATTCTTAGAGGTATTCGTAATTTTCATTATCTCAAAGTGTAAATCAATTTACCTGATTACGTGGCTTATTAATAATTATGTGATAGTTTCAGAAAAATACTCTATGTATGCTTTGTTAAGTAAATCAATGTACCCTGTAGATCAGACTGGATTAACATACGAAATAGCATTTAAGTAAAATGGTCATAATTTGCAATGCTGGGGCCCCAAGATACAGAATCTACTATGCCTACGTTTTAGGATGCACGGCTTTATTTGAGAAAACAACAATAATTTATATCAGGGTTTGGTGGTAAAGGGACTCTAAAAACATTGTAAACGTAGATTTGCAATGAAGATGTAAAAGCTAATTAATTCAAATGCTAGGCAAAGTGTCACTTCTCTTCCTGGACCACCTTGTGTTCAAACAGGACACTATCGGGTTCTATTTGCAGGGACACAAACAATGGTCTCTGCATACCAGCTCTCCTTACTTTTCCAATGGTGATTCCTTTAAGCCACTCTCAGCTCACAGGTGGGAATCTAGACCTGTAAAAATGAATGCACGCTCTCAAGTGCCTGTCTGGGTCCCTGAGGAAGAGGGAGGGAAGAGCTCAGATGGCAGACCTCTAACCCACCCTTTACTAAATGCCACAAGAGGTTCAGATCTCCGGGCAAGCACTGATCCAATCTGACCTGCCTTCATGCTTCTTTTTAAGTGAGAAATTCACATTTTACTGAAGGTGTGCAAAGGGAAATGGAGAGAGGTGGTGTATGTCACACAGAGCTCACCATCTCACTTGGAAATTAAGAGAATTTATGTGGGAAAAAGATGGTGGGCGTGGCAGAAGCACAGAAAATGTAGATCAAGACAGAACATGAGAGATCTTGTACCACTTGCTCAACAAGAAAGGGTGAGAACACTGTAATGGCCACTTTAACCTGTAAATGCCCTAACTCCTCTCCCTGAAGATCACAAAACCTGACATCCTCTAAGAAATAATGTCCAACTCCAAGAGGTACCCAGTCAAAAACAATACAGGCTTTATCTTTTCCAATCTATTTCCTCATGACCACACTCAGCAGAATAAGATCTTGCCTTTTCTTGTTGCCTTTGCAAGGGGGTAGTTGCCCAGCACGCGCTGCCTCTCTACAAGGAACACCTCCCTAGCAGCCCTTCTTGCCCTGGGTTCCAGGCATTTTATGATGTGACTATAACAGATGTAGCTATTCTACATCTAGAATAGTTACTAGCTATATGCCAATCTGGGGAGAATGAAAAAGACAGTCACTCAGGTCATTTTCCACTGGGCTTAATTCCCTTGAACAACTCTGCCTGAAGGAGGAGTGTTAAGGTAATATTTTACACTATGACTCAGACATCAAAGAAACATACATTAGCCATTAGTTTGTGGATTTGAAAGTAATTAACAACACACACCCACAGGTAGTTCCAGAACATTTCATCTCACTTTTCTTTTTGGTATCCACTGAGAAGTGGCCTCCATTCTCCCCCTTCTTCTCCCCAACTGCTCAAGGTTTCTCATTTCTATGTTACCATCCGAACTTACTGATTTCACTAAATATTTTCCAAAACACAGCTAAACCTTATTTCTGCCCTTTCATTTCACTAGAACCATCGTTAAAAACAGTAAAGATTTCATTCACTCACAGCATTAATCTAAGGGAATATGACAAAGCATTAATGCTTTGAACAGTCTTCTTTTTAATATCATCTTGGGGTTTTGTTCTAACAGATACATTGAGAAGCAACGCTTCACTAACAGGAGTCAGTACTAGTAGGGGAAGAGTGTGAGGAAATAACTTTTTCGTACTGTAATTTTCATTAAAATTGTATCTGTTGATTTGACAAGTAAAAGAAAAAAAAGTATCTAATATTTCTTAAGGTTATATGTAACCAGAAATTTTCATGGCTGTAGAAAATGTATGAGAACATAAATATCAGGGATTCACTGACAACACACTCATTTCAAATGAATGATATGCAACAAAAAATGGGCTTGAGCAAAGGGGCTTTATTCTACATATTCCATGTTTTTTATACGTGAATGAAGAAGATACAGTTGGAAAGCAGCATCTCTTTCAATACAGGGACTTTGCCGAAAGAATACCACTGGGATGGATGACAGCAGTTTCTGTTCATCTGAAAGCTTTCTTTCCTCCATTAAGAACACAGAAGGAGCAATGTCCTTGCATTTTTCTTCTTGAATTGCCACTCAGCCCACTCTGCTCTTCAGGGGACACACTGAATTCCTAAGAAGCTCTCTCAGCACCACTGTAATTTCAGCAAATCTTTACTCACATAAAGGACATAATTCCCCCTATCAGACAGACATTCTGTAGGACTGCTGTGGCATCTGAAATGATATCATTCACCTTCTCTGAAGGAGAGACATGATCAGTTTCCTTCTCTGAACAGCAAAGTGAGCCTTGAACACAGCCAGGCAAGGAAAAGGAGTAGCGGGATCTGCCTCGCACAATTTCCCGGCAGAAGAAAGGCCAGGTCACTCACACACTTACTTGCCAGAGCCTTTTTTCCAGCTGCATGGTAGGCTACAATGTATTTCTTTCCCTCTCTATCCTCTGTTTTTGTCTCTAATCCTGGAAACAGAGATTTAATTGCTTGATGGATGACAGTCCTTTTCTCTTTGGTGTCCTCAACAACCTATTAAAAACACAGATTATTATGTCACTTGTCTCTTTTAACTTTAAAATTTTCAGATTTCAAATTAAAAACACAATCCCACTGTACAGCACCTCTGATTGCCAGGCTGTGGTCCTCCTTTTCCAGGAGACACTATATGATATAACAGTCACTGCAGGTTCAAAACAATAGATTTCTTTGCTGATTTGTGGTCATATCATTTTTTTTAAACCAACTTTTTTTTTTTTTTGGCCATAGTTTATGTGGATACTGGTTATCTGTCACTGATTAAAAATATTTTTTAATGTAATGCCCTTTTACATCAAGTAGGACAGTATCATCCTTTTGTTAACTACTGTAATTTTTCCAATAGACTCTTACTAACATCTACCCGAAAAGAAGCAATCAAAAGCCTATAAAACCTTTTCATATATTTCTGTACTATTTACCTCGATGGCAACACTGGTTTCCTTATTTACGAAAAGCTGAAGCTCTTCTAAACGCTGCTTTTCTTCAGCTGTCAAAACTGTAAATATATCTTCTGAAGGATCCTTTAAAATAACCATAAAAACTCCCAGTGAGTCACAGATAGAATTCAAGGCTGTTAAAGCTCTCTACGTCAATGATCTCTAAAAAAATGCTATCTTTATACAGAAGGTGAGTTTTGCTGGAGAGCTGGCCCCTACCTCCTCATCCACTGGGATGGACAAGTCATCCAAATGGCTGATGCGTCCATCTTTTCCTATTTCATGAACAACAAAGTCGGAGTATCTGATGAAAAGAAAACACAAATTCTCACAACATTACCATTTTTGTTTCCTGTTAATTTTAGGAGAAAGTTTAGTAATAGTAAGCCTTACTATTATGTAAAACAAGAAATTCTTTAAAAAAAGAGTTTTCAGTGCAGAGTAACACAGAGTTATTGTTTCTGGCTTCTTAATGAATTTTGATCCACACCTTAGTTCTGTATCAGAATATATAGACCCTCTGATACTTTAACATCCACTTACACCAACAGATATAATTATTTAGATGGAAATTCAACAAGGGAACATCAGTCTTATATACACATTAAAGCTGATGGACTTAATATTTACACAACTTTCCATCCCAGAACCGGCACAATAACCATTCTTTTCAAGTGCACAAGGAATCTTCTTCAGGGTAGACCATATGTGGGACAAAAAACAAGTCTCAATAAATTTAAGAAGACTGAAATCCTATCAAGCATCTCTTCTGTACAAACTGTAGGAAACTAGAAATTAACTACAAGAAAGCTGGGAAAATCACCAATGTGTGGAATTTAAACAACTTGCTACTGAATAACTACTATGTCAATGAAGAAAAAGAAATCAAAAGATATAGAGATAAATAAAAATGAAAATTTGACATTCCAAAAATCTTTGAGATGTAGCAATAGTGGTACTAAGAGGCAAGTTCACAGTAATATAGGCCTATCTCAAAAAACAAGAAAAATCTCAAACAATCTAACATTATACCTTAAGGAACTACAAAATGAAGAACAAATGAAGCCCAAAGTCTGTAGAAAATAGGAAATAAAAATCAGAGCAGAAATAAATGAAATAAGAGACTAAAAGACAATAGAAAATACCAATGAAATGAAGAGCTGTTTCTCTGAAGAGATAAATAAAATTGACCAATCTTTAGCTAGACTCACTAAGGGAAAAAGAGAGATGACTCAAATAAAATCAGAAATGAAAGTGGAGAAATTACAATGGGTACCACAGAAATACAAAGGATCATATAAGAATACTAAGGCTATACTCCACCAATCTACAAGAAATGGACAAATCCTCAGAATCATACAACCTTCCTAGACTGAATCATGAAGAAATAGAAAACCTAAATAGATCAATTCTAGTAAGGAAACTGAAACAGTAATCAAAAACCTCCCAAAAAACAAAAGTCCACAACCTGATGGCTTCAATGGTGAACTCTGCCAAACATTCAAAGAAAATTTAATACCTATCCTTCTCAAACTCTTGCAAAACATTGAAGAGAAGGAAGGAAATGCTTCCTACCTCATTTTACAAAGCCAACATTACCTTGACACCAAAGCCAAGCAAGGATAACACACAAGGAAGAAAATTATAGGCCAGTATCTATGATAAACATACATATGCAAAAAATCCTCAACAAAATACTAACAAATCAAATACAACAATACAGTAAAAGCTTCATAGGCCACGATCAAATGAAATTTTTTCTCTGAATGCAAGGATGGTTCAACATTTGCAAATCAATAAACATGATACACATTAACCAAATGAAGGATCAAATTATCAACTCAGGTGTAGAAAAAGCATTTGACAAGACAAAATATCCTTTTATGATATATTCTCAATAAAATGGATACAGAGGAAATTTTCTCAACATAATAAATGCCATATATGACAAACTCACATCTATCATCATACTCAACAGTGAAAAACTGAAAGCTTTTCCTCTAAGATCAGGAACAGAACAAGGATCACTCTTGCCACTTTTATTCAGCATGGTACTAGAAGATGTAGCCAGAACAATTAGGCAAATTGGAAATGAGGAAGTAAAATTGTAACTACTTTCAAATGACATTTTGCACATAGAAAATGCTAAATACTACACCCCAAACTATTGGAAACAGTAAACAAACACAGTAATGTTGCAGGATACAAACTCAATATAGAAAAATCTGTTGTTTCTATATACTAAGAACAAACTATCAGAAAGAAGAGGTGAAAGACCTGTATGCTGAAAACTACCAGACGTTGTTGAAAGAAACTGAAGACACAAAGAAATGGAAAGGTATTTCAAGTTCATGGATTGGAAGAATTAACATTGTTACGATCTCCACATTACCTAAAACAATCTAAAGAGTCAATGCAATCCCCATCAAAATCCCAATGGCATTTTTCACAGAAATAGAATAAAAAATCCTAAAATTTGTGAGGAACCACAAAAAACTCGATAGTAAAAGCAATACTGAGAGAAAAAGAACAAAGCCAGAGGTGTCACACTCCCCAATTTCACACTATACTACAAAGCTACAGTAATCAAAGCAGTACAGTAGTGGCATATAAACAGATACAGAATGGAGAGCCCAAAAATAAACCCACAACTAATTTAAGACACAGGAACCAAGAATATACAATGGAAAAAGGAAAGTCTCTTCAATAAATGGTGCTGGGAAAACTAGACAGCCATATGCAAGGGAATAAAACTAGACCACTATCTTAATCACATTTAAAAATGAACTCAAAATGAATTAAATACTGGAATGTAAGGCCTCAACCATTTAAAATATATAGAAGAAAATATAAGCATTAAGCATCTTGACAATGTTTTCAGTGGTGTTTTTTGTGAATTTGGCTCTAAAGGCATGAGAAACAAAACCAAAAATAAACAAATGGGACTACATTCCTTTGCAGAGCAAAGGAATCCATCAACAAAACAAGAAGGCAACCCACTAAATGGGAGTAGCTATTTGCAAAAAAATATTTCAATATGGGGTTAATATCCAAAATATATAAAAAATCATCACACACACGCACGCACACGCACGAGAGCACGTGCCTCCCCCCAATTAAGAAATGGGCAAAGGGCCCTGGCTGCTGTGTGGCTCAATGGATTCAGTGCCGGCCTGCAAACCAAAGGGTTGCTGGTTCGATTCCTAGTCAAGGCACATGCCTGGGTTGTGAGTCAGTTCCCCAGTGAGGGGCACGTGAGAGGCAACCACACATTGATGTTTCTCTCCCTCTCTTTCTCCCTCCCTTCCCCTCTGTCTAAAAATAAAATAAATAAAATCTTAGGGGAAAAGAAAATGGGCGAAGGGTCTGAATAGACATTTTTCCAAGGAAGACATACAGATGGCCAACAGGCACATGAAAAGATGTTCAACTTCATTAATTAGGAATGAAAATGAAAACTACAATGAGATATCACCTCAAACCTGTTAGAATGGCTATTATCTAAAACACAAGACATAACAAGGATGTGGAGAAAGGAGAGCTCTGCTGCACTGCTGATGGGACTGGAAATTAGTGAAGTGAACCCTGGCTGGCATGGCTCAGTTGACTGGGCGTCGTCCTGTGAAGTAAAAGTTTGCTCGTTCAATTCCTGGTCAGGGCACCTGCCTGGGTTGCAGACCTGGTCCCTGACTGGGGTGTGTGGAAGTGGCAAACTTCCCTCTCTCTCTCTCTCTCTTTCTAAGTAAAATCTTAAAAAAAAAAAAAAAAAAAAAATAGTGGAGCTGTTGTGGAAAACAGTATGCAGGTTCCTCAAAAAATTAAGAACAGAACTATCATGTGATCTGGCAATTCCTTTTCTGGGTATTTATCTGAAGAATAACAAAACACTAATTTGAAAAGATGTATGTACCCCATGTTCACTGCAGTGTTATTTACAGTAGTTAAGACATGGAAACACCCTAAGTGTCCATCTATTGATGACTGGATAAAGAAGATGTGGAGCACATATACAAAGGAGAACTACTCAGCCATAAAAAAGAGAAAATATTGCCACTTGCAACAACATGTATACCTCTTAAGGGTATTATGTTAAATGAAATAAGTCAGACAGAAAAAGACCAAAACTGTATGGGTTCACTCATTTTATCTTTAAATGGTGTCATTACTCATTTAGGCAGCTTTCTCATCCTTCTTAACCATCCATGATATTAATCCTTGAGGATAGAAAGCTAAACAGAAGACTATATTGCTGATTTTTTTCATAAAGAAAAGAACAGCTGTAACTAAAACAACTTTGTACATAAACTAAACATACCTTTCTTTTAAGATTCCCGAGAATCCTTGATGAGAACTTACAAACTTGGTGATGCCAACATCAAGTTCGGTGAGTCCATGCTTCATCATGTCTGCAAAACTCTCAGCCTCCTCCTCTTCATCACCCTCTTCCGAAAAGCCATCTTCCTCCTCCTCTTCTTCTTCCTCCAATTGGGCATCAGAATTGTTTTTATTCTTTCCAGCACTTACAGCTTCAGGTAGCCCAGGCACATTTTTACAGCTGGGTGTAGAGTTATTTTCCAGCCCATCCTGACCTTTGGCCAGACAGCATTCTGAGACCTTCTGTCTTTTTGCCTCCTCGGCTGGGGACAGACTGTCATTATCTTCAACAGCAAGGGACCCACGTTTCAGTGACATACCAGTCATTTCTGTCATCTCCATTTTTAAGGCTCCAAGAAAACATTTAAGAAAACCTGTTAGGAAGACAGAGTAGGATAGTAACAATCACTTCTATAAATAAGTGGGTTTCAGCAAACAAAAGCACAAGTTAACATTGTTCCTAGGGTCCTGAAAATCATTTAATAAAATAATCCCTCCCAATGTTGGCAAACACCTTTGATGGCACAGAAAAATGGCAGAACGATTCCGCAAAAATTTGACAATGTGCATCAAAAGCCTTAAAAATATGCATGCACTTTGGCCCAGAAACACTACTTTCAGGAAGTATCTTAAAATTAAAAAGTGGTTAAAATTCTAGCAGTAAGGACAGTCACCTTGGAGCTTTTATATTAGTAAAGCATCAGGAATAATGCCTGAGGTACATGAACTGAACAATATGCAGAAACCATGTAAACAATATGCAGGAACTGGGAAAGGTGGTTGCTCCTAGGAGAGAGTGTAAGTGGCTGCGGGCAGCAAGCAGGGAGATTTCCTGTTTCTCCTGAATACCATAGTGGTATCACCTGTATTTTGTTGCATGTTTTTATTATCCTTTCAAAAAACTGATTAAAAAATAGTGTGTAAACACAATTGCGAACATGAAATCATACCATACAATATATTTTTTAAAAGGCAAGGGGAACATCAGGTTGATTAATGGGTCCAAAGTTTCGGTTTTGCAAGATGAAGAGCTCTGCATGCCCGTTTCACAACCATGTGAATGGACTTAACACTACTGAGCTGTACATTTAAAAATGGTTAAGATGATGTTATATATGTTATATGTATTTTGCCACAATTGAAAAATAGGTTATCATTTAATTGGCCTGTACACAATGTACTGAGAAAAAAACCTAAGCCACTCCTACTTCCCAGTACAGAGCAGCTTGAAGGGGCTACCTATGGCAATGAAGGCCAACACATTTTATCTGAGACCACCAGTGCCTGTCTAATTTTTTGATGCTCTTGGTAGAATAAGAATAAAGGTTTTTCCTGTATTAAATATATAGAGAGATGCTAAAGTTAACATACTAACAAACCTAGTAAACATATTCATAAATAATATAAATGAGCAGAAATTAATAATCTAGTTCTCCAAGGCTCAGTTAACACAAAACCCACCTATAAAAACATCTAGAGCAGAATAATAATGATGTTGAACTAAATTTTAAGAACCCATATTTTATCTTGTATTTTTAAAATTGTGTCAAAAATCAAGAATGGAAAGAAAAGTAGAGAAAAAGACAAATACTACAAGCTAAAAGTAAAAGAAAAAAAGGATCATAATGGCTACAAAAAAAAACAGGAGAAAAGACACAGAAAAATGTTAGTGAATACAATTACTTTTGGTGTTTGGGATGATGCTTCAACCAACTGAGCAACCCAGCTAGAGCTTAAATACCATTACTTTTGAAAGACAAAAAATTAAATAAAGAAAATAGAAGAAATCAAGAAACTGGAACAGAAGTAGACCACAACCAGATATTTATAAAATTACCTCTAATTCAAATAAGAAAGCATTTATCCTTTATTTGTTCTAAGCAAGGTAATAGTAAAAAAGAATGCTGGTTTATGAAATGCTAATGCTCTTTCACTCTCACTTTTTATCAGCAAAGCTGCCCTCACAGAGTTTGCACACCAGCAAGGGAGACAGAAGAGGTCCAGGGCTTACCTGGTCGAGGACTAGGGAACACAGACAACCTCAGGAGGCGCTGGAGGTGACGGGGTCAGAGAAGACAGCCTTTCTAATGCAAGTCAAGAAATGAACACCTACCTAAGCAACGTTTTTAGGAACAAGTGAAGCCACGTTCCTAAAACGGAGGAGGGGGCTGCTGGGGGAAGAGGGCACTGGCTATGCCAAAGCATGGAGGAACGGGGGGCCATGGAGCTCTGGAAGAACCCCAAGGAGCTCATCACACATCAGGGAAGGTACAACACACAAGCAGAGTTTGGACTTAAAGCAAGAGAGTGGGCAGAAGCCACACCAGGCTGAATGGAGGGAAGGACATTGTGAAACTCAAACAATCACTAAATTCGTGAGTTAGAAAGATTTTGTCGTACCCTTTGAAGAAAAACTGGGGTTAGGCTGGAAGACTAGGAAACGGCAGAGCTGCATTCAGTACCACCTGATCTAAGGCAGCGGGAAGGGTAACAGAAAGAAGGGGTGGATTCAGGGACAATCAGGAGGTGCTAAGAAGAGGACTAGGTGACAAATATGGAAAGAAAGAAGAAATATCCCAGGGTAACTTGGGTTTTCTGCCTTGGGAACCTGAGAGGACATGGGGACCCCAGGAAGAGGAGCAGGTGGTGGGAGAAGACAAGCCCACTTATAGTTTTGTGGTGTTGCAGGTATGCGGGGGACATCCAAGAAATGTCCTGTAGCCAGTCACTACATTGTGTCACATATACTCTTACCCAAAAGCCTCCAATAACCCCCAACTATGATACAACGTCTCCAGCTGGCATGACAAGATCTACCTTATACACTTCCTGAATACAGCCTGAATTCTCAGCAGAGAGGAAAGCACAGGCAGTAGCAGCCACATCTGCACTTGCCGCAGGGACTTTATAGTCAGCTGCATGTCCACCTTCGTCCCAGTGTGCAGAGAAGTACTCACAAGGCTCCTTCTCAACAAGCCATTCAATGGCTATAAGCCTTGGTGGGAACACCACCGATTTCCTCCGCAGAAAGCTGCTCCGCCCCTGCTTCAGTACTGTCCATCACCCAGGGCCGTGTGCCATCACCTTCCACACGCCTCCCGCAACGCAGGCCCAGCCCCGACAGGTGCCCACTCCCTGACTGCTCACACACTCTCTCCAATGACAGGTCCTCTATACCCATCTCAGATCGCCCTGGTCTCTCACTTGTCCTTCAAGATTCATCTGAAGACCACAAGCCCTGACTCTCGCGTCTTCCTGTCTATTAACTCCATGTCTTCCCATTTTACCTCTCTTCATTTACATTACCCATACAGGCACCTGAGTACTGTGTTTTTCCCTCACCCACTTTCTAGCTGTGTAACTGGTCCAAGAAAATTACTAACTTCTCTAAGACCCTGTTCTTCAGGTGTAAAATGGGAATGAAAGGTGCTTCAAAGGACTGTCGTGAAGATTAAACGAGATGATAAAACATGGAGTGGCTGGAAGCAGAGGAACTCCATAAAAGCTAGTCCCCTTCCTTTCCTCAGGAAGTCTGCAAATTCTTTGAGGTATTATTTCTTTTGTACATGACAGAGAATCCAGCACAGTGTAACAAGCACCAATAAATATTTTGCAGTTCTTAAAATAGGTGTCGAAATGGTTCCCCATCTATAGAGATCAAAGACACATTAAGTAGCAAATCCTTAATGAAATAGTGGCCCTGGGCAATAACCATCAATGCCCACTAACATCACGAAAGAGAAACAACCAGACATTGTGTACTCCTGAAAATACTTGCTATTATTTATGAAGTATTTTTACTGATTGAATATCTATGCAGTGAGCGCACAATGCAGTGTGTAGATGATGTTTTGTTGAGTTGTACACTTGAAACCTGTATGGTTTTGTGGACTGATGTCACCCAAAAAATTCAATTAAAAAACAAAACAAAACACGAAACTATGTTTAACTACCAGTTTAGATGGCATACAGAGACACAAGATGTTAAATGGTGATGGGAAGCAAACAGCAAAATCCTGAATGTGGGAAATTGCAAGGACAAAGCCAAAGTTCCTTCAACTAATAAGTAGCAAAGGGAAAAAAAGGAAGGGGAACCTACAGGTAAACCTACAAAGAAATGCAGTGGTGGATCCTTCTTCAGTGGATCCTGATTTAGGTAAACCAAGTGTTTAAAAAAGCATTTATGAGACAATCAGGGACATGAAATGCTGGGGATATTCGATGATGCTAGCAGTATTGTCAACTTTTTAACGTTAAATAATGTTACTGTGATTACATTTAAAAACAGAATCCAAGCTCCAGCTGGTATAGCTCAGTGGATTAAGTGCTGGCCTGTGAACCAATCCATTGGGGTTGCCGGTTTGATTCCCATTCAGGGCTCATGCCTGGGTTGAGGGCCAGGTACCCAGTGGGAGGCTCATGAGAGGCAACCACACATTGATGTTTCTCTCCCACTCGTTCTCCCTCCCAATCTCCCTCCCTTCCAATCTCTCTAAAAATAAATAAATAACACCTTTAAAAATTAAAAAAAAACAAAACCCAGAACCTTTGTATTTTAGACATACAAACTGAGCTATTTATGGTTGAAAAGATATGAAGTCTAGAATTTTCTTCAAAATAATTTACTAGTGTTGAATGGGAAGCAGAATGGGTATAGATTTCAAACAAGAATGGACATGAGTTGCTAACTGTTGAAACTGAGTGATGGGAACAGAGGGAGGTCATGCCATCATTCCCTCTACATTTTGTTTGATATTTTTTATAATAAAAAATAAAAGTGCAAAGTATAAAAAGATGTACAAACTATTCTACTCTGATCAAATCACCAATTCCTTCAGTTCTACTGCTCCCTGTCTCCCATCACCTATTCCTCCAATGTATTGAGATATCCAGTCCCAAGAAACCACCTCTTCCACCTTTATTTACTTGTTCAAGTGCCCTCAACAACTCTTAGCCACTATTCAACACTCTTGTTCACTAGTCCTGCTCCATGATCCTTGCTAAACTTCAACCGACTACCAATTCGACTGTCTGTGCCTATGTTCCTGGCTGCTGCTGGAGAAAATCTTGCCAGGGCAGGGGAGTTTCTGTCTCATGACAGCCCTCCAGGCTGCCTGGCCCTCCCTAGTCAGCAAGGTCTTCTCCCAGTCGTGTCGGGTATTTACAAAGAAAACAGGGATGTTCTGGCAGACACACATCCCTCTAGAATATTCACAATGAGGCAGGATAGTAAGAAGCTAGAATTCCTTAACAAGTAGAATGGGGAAACTGAGAAAAACAGTTAAAGGGCTGAGCAATGTACAACCAGATAATAGACTGCAAGCTCTTATTTTCCCTAACCAAGGACTTAGGAACAAATGGTTTACACATTCCAGACTATGCAGGAGGCAGATCCGCCTCAGTCCTGGACCCTCTTCAGTGACATTCTTTGAAAGTGAAACAGACCAGAGAATGATCCTGACCCCATTATACACTCATTTTGATAAATAAGCATATCAAAGGACACACCTGAAAAGCTGAATATTCTATTGAGATCCACTCTTGAGACCTCTCCCTAAAATTCCAGCCTTTAAAAAACAGATAAAAACCCTTAAGACAAAGGTCCCAGGGTGCTCACTCTCTCTGGAGCACACCCATGCCTCCCCCCACCCTTTTTTCCTTAGGGGCGTACCTTTGCTTTCTTTCTCCTATACTCTAAAGGTTTCCAGGAGACTTGCGGGGGGCGGGGGGGGCGGGCAGGGGGGGACACGGACAGACGGACGGCCAGTGGGCAGCGGGCAGCAGCAGCTTGTCCCAGGATAACCTCCTGAACCTGTCTCCAGAGGCTCTCCTTTTGCCCCTGTAACTTCTTTTCTGAGTCCATGCAGCCTTGCTGGCTCACCAGTTTTGCTGCTGTGACTTTCTTCTTAAAGAGCCATGGCAGGCTCACCATGATCTTGCCTCTTCTCTCTTTCATCCTTCCTGTGTTTCATTGTCCCCAGCTTTAATAAATGTACTCTCAAATCACCTGGACTCACATCATGAATTCTTCCTGCATGAAGTCAAAACCCCCGACATTCTAGGCTGTACGAGGGCAGACCAGCCGCAATCCCAGTCCCTTTCCAGTGACAACAAGAGCACTTATGACCATTCCCCTTAATGTGGCAAACCCCTCAAGGGAAATCCACACTTACTTTAACACTCACTCACTCCTCTACACTGCCCTTCATTCCCTCAACAAATATTCACCATGCACCCCTGTGCCAGGCATTATTCCTGGTACTGCGACAAGACACAACAGTGAACGAAATAAGTGCTCCGCCATCATTTGCTTCCTTGACCAAATCACAACCATTCAAGCCTGGTCCTACCTGACATCTTTTCCCAACACAACATAGTTCACTGCTTTACCTTGAAACCTTCCTACTCCTTATTATCTCCTGCCTCTGGAGATGCTCTTTTCCCCTCTTCTCTGCCTGCCGCTTAAATTTGGGTTTCTCCAGGTTCCTTCTCCAATCTTGTTTCCTTCTCACTGCCAACTGTGCCAGACAAGACCCCTTCATCTCCAACTCTCTTGTTTATTAGGCGTCCAAGGCAATCGCAAAGGCAGCTAAACAATGATAAAGTGTATATTGTGGGCCTGTTCAAACCTCACTTTAACACTGTGACAGAGTATTCATTATCATTCCCATTTTAGCACTAAAACACTGAGGCCCAGAGATAAAGAATCTTGGTCCAATTTATAGAGCTAGTAAGAGGCAGAATCAAATGCTCAAACTCAACATGCCCTAAATTGATCTCATCATCTCCCATTACAAACACACTTTTGTTAAATTGCACTCCTTACCTCAGGGAATGTTACCACCAACTAACTACCAGTCACCTGTGTCAAAATATGGGTATCATCCCAACTTTTCATTCTCTGCTATGCCTGTATCAGTGATTTCATCAATGAAATTCTAGAAGGTTTAGAACATTCCTGAAATGAGAATATTAACAGACCATGGGTCTTAAGTATCAACCACTGGTTTCAACTCTTCCTTGTGGAACAGCAATTTGTGAGGTATAACATGGAGACTGATCTATGAGCAGGTTTTGCCATTTACTAAGCAGGTCTCTTAACCCCTGTAAGATCCAGTTTATTCTTCTGTAAAGCTGAAAAATGACTTGGTTAAAGGTCTGTAATAACTATTCCTTTTTAACTGCTGGTCATTAGTATTTATTATGGATGGTTTACACAGCATTATATTTCTGTCTGCAGTGAAAACAAAGCTTCTGTTGTTTCTTTTGTTCTCTGGGCTAACGATTAAACACAGTTTTCTCCTTAAAATACCACTTAATTTTAAGAGATCCTCAAAGCACTGCCAACAGCACCAAATACATACATCTTTGGTATTTTTTGGAAATCTTTTTCTTGATTCTTGTGGATGCTTGTCTTATCTTTTTCTTGTTATATGTAATTGCAAAGACAAGCTCATTAACTAATCTTACTTTTGTTTTCAAATGACATTACACTTTTTGTTTTTTGGGGTTTTTTTGGCTAATGGCCTTATCACAGACATTTATTATTAGAGTATATATAGCACAAATGATTATAAATCATTTAATATATATTTTGCTAAGTAATGTCTGTGGGCCTAGAAGCTGAGAATACACTTACCAGAAGAGCTGTGCAAACTTCTAAACTAGAAGAGGCAGAACTCAAATTAGTGTTTTCATAAGCAGAAACTCTATAAAAGGGAAGACTGAAATGGAACATAACTTTTAAATAAAAGGTGGGGAGGGAATCCTGGAAAGAAAAAAGAGGCTGAGAAGAATTCAATCAGGCCCTGGCCAGCTGTGGCTGTTAGTTGGGCACTATCCTGCAAACCAAACAGTTGCTGGTTCCATTCCCGGTCAGGGCACATGCCTGGGTTGTGGGCTAGGTCTTCAGCTGGGGGAGCTGGGGCGGGTGCAAGAAGCAACTGATCGATGTTTCTCTTGCACATCTATCGCTTCTCTCCCTCTCTTTCCCCCTCCCTAACCCTCTCTCTGAAAATAAATGAAATCGTTTAAAAAAAAAGAATTCAATCAGAAAGATAAAACCCTGATTGCCCCAATGTGATTTCCTTAAGGAAAATCCAAATACACATGTTCAAGTATTCTACTCAAAGCTAGAAAAAGCAACTGACTTTAAAAAAAAGGGGGGGTGCTTATGAGGTTTTTAATGGTATTTTTGAAGTTTTAAAGAAATATTACACTGCAAAAAGAAAAAAAGGCATTTGGTTTAAAAAAAGAAATATTACACTGCACACATTATTCCTGATAGTGTATATTGATTTCAAAACCCTCCATAATTTCCACTTTTTCAATGCTCCTATCCTCCATTCTCTGCAAACTGTCGGTAATCCCTCTAGCACACACAATCAAAAGCACATTCTTCAGGGAAGAACACACACTCACTAGGCTCTAATATGCAAAATCATTAAGTTCACTACCTTTACTCATTGCACAAATATTTATTGAGCGCCTCTTATGTGTCTGGCACTGCAGAAAAAAGGAAAATTCCCTACCCTTACTAAGCTTACATTTATTTAAGGATATTATAGGGGAATAAAAAATTTTTTTAAATGCAAACATAAGAGTTACAAATAAAGCTGAGTAAGGGGAATTAGAGAAACAAGGGGGCTCTTTAGTGAAGCCTCTCCAAGGAGGTGCCTTTTAAGTAAAGGCTAAAAGAAGAACTAGATATGAAAAGATGTGAGATGAATTCCAGGCAGCGGAAACAGTGCATATAGTGTAAAGGACCTGAGGCTCGAGCAAACTTGGGTCAGCAGTAAGACCAATGGGGTTGTAATTTCTCTTTCCTACTTGGGGGCAAAAACTATCTTTTTTTAAATACTTGTACGGGTCCAGACTCTATCAAAAAATATGTTCAAAAGGGGTTATTAAATAATAGATACTGAGTGTTGGCTACTTGCCTAATGACTAAACAAAATCATTGTCTTCCGTCCCCTTTTCAGTAAGAGTGTACTGTTGGCTACTTGACAGATCCCTCCACTGCCAAGGCACCCGCAGGCCAATGGAGCATGTCTGCCTCAGACTAGAGACTTGAAATAAAAGCCCTTAGTAATCCTATACATATCTTCGGAATGGGGAAAAAAGTGGTCTGACAACGGGACCAAATTTTTGAAAAACTAAACTCCAAACCCTGCTTCTCGGCAAGTGCTAAAACCCAGGCAATGAGGACGTCTCAGTGCAGGGCTAGCGGTAAGCGCCTCAGTACAGATGAATTTCAACACGCCACAGCAGCACGTCGACCATCCACTCATAAACACTGATCCAGCAGAGACTGCAAGAAAAAACTCCTGGTTCCCAACCTGTTCGCTCCTACTCTGGGAAACAGCTATAAAACAAGAAGTCACCTAGCACATAGAAGCCATGAAATAAGTAGTGATGGATGAGGAGTATCAGGACGAAGCACGTGGGCTGGACTCTGTAGCAGACTGGCCCAGCGCAGTAGGGTTTCGGGATAAAGGCCAGTTTTTCTCTTCGGGGAAAGAGAAGAGTTTAGGGAAAAGAAAAGAGTGGGAAACGGATCCTCGGCCGGACAGCGCCGCCAGGAGGAAGGAGGACGCAGCGTCCCTTGGGACCTGCCCCGGTAGTGGGGGGCGGGGCTGGCACCACCAAAGCGCAGGTCCCGTCGGGCTCCCGCCCGGCTCCCGCGAGTACGGTCCGTAATGGAGACTCCGCGGGCTCGCCATGGCCTCAGACCACGGCTGGAACACCTTCCCAGTCCACACTGCTCCTCCCGGGGTTTTCGGTGGGGGGACCGAGGTGCCGAGGCGACTGGTCGGGCCGGGCCGAGGGCTGACGGCGGAGCCCGGGCGGCTGCGGAGAGGCCGCGCACTTACCCGGGGCCCGGGAACGCGGGCGCGGTGCGGGCCGAGCGGCGAGGGATTGGGCGCACAGCTGCGGGTGCAGGAGGGCGGCAGCGGCAAGGGTCCCTCGGAAGAGCCAGCTGCAAGGGCGGCCGGACATAGACAGCGCTGTCCGCGCCTGGGGCCCACAGCGTTGTGGTAGACTCACTGGCGGCCGGGCTCGCACACGTGCAGCGCAGGGACGCGCTGCTGCTCGCCGGCCCCTCCCCCGGGGCGGAGCTCGTCCTCCGCGGCCCGCCCCACCCACTTCCCGCCGCACAGCGCCAGGAGCAGCGTGTCCGCAGGAGCAGTGTGTCCGCAGAAGCTGGGGCCGGACCCCTTGGCCTTCTCAGCTGCGAAGTGGGAAGCTCACAGTGGCTCATTCACTCCGCGAGCTTCCCAGGCGGTGGCACCCGGGTTTTGGCGAGAGCAAAAAGTGATTTTATAGGCACCAAAGAGTCCTTTAGATGACTATTAAAGCAGCGATCGACCTCGGAATGTTAGTTGCATTCTAACAAAGCTTGCTTCCGCAATTATGGCCCTTTTATGTTTCCTTCCACCATGCAGTTAACTTAATAATTAATAAAGATCACATTATGGTCTATATTGTTCTATGCATATAATTCCTTCCAATGCCATGAATCCAAAAGCACCATTTTCCTAATTCTTCGATTTACCTGCATGCTTAATCGCTCCCCATAGGATCCCCTTCAAGAAACCTGATCATAGCAAGTTTGTGCTCTGTGCAAAGAAAAATAAAATGCAATACTCTTTCCCTGCTGTCTAAATAGCACACGTTTCCAGACCAAATCCTGTCCTCAAATAGCTTTTGCACATTTAATATTTAACCAAACTTCAATCCTGAGTGAAAAACGAATGTTATTTCAAGTCCTTTTATTTTTGCTAGGCTTTTTTCTTTTAAATTGTGGTAAAATATACGTAAGATAAAATGTACCATTTTTACCATTTTTAAGTGTATAGTTCAGTAGTATTGAGCACACTCACTTTGTTATGCAACCATCACCACCATCCCTCTCCGGAACTCTTCATCTTGAAACTCTATGCCGTTGATTCCTTAGTCTTTCTTCCTCCTAGCTCCTGGCAACTGCCATTCTATTTTTCAGGTCTCTATGATTTTCCAGTTCTGGGTAACTCACGTAAGTGGACTTATACAGTATATGTTCCTTTGTGACTGGCTTCTCTAAGCATAATGTCCTTAAGATTCATCCTTTTAAGGCTGAATAATATTCCACTTTATGTATACATCACATTTAACAGGCCCATTGTCGCTAGGGTTGCTTCCCTCTTTCGGCTATTGGGATTAGTGCTGCATGTTCATAGCAGTGTTAACAGGGTGTACCAATATTTCTTTGAGACATTGCTTTCAGTTTTTGTGCGTGTATATACCCAGGAGTACAATTGTTATATCATATGGTAATTCTATTTTTAATCTTTTGAGCAATCACATACTGTTTTTCATAGGAGCTATAGACTTGTTTTTAAAATTTGGGTTTACATGTGGAGATCTAACTGAATAGAGATAATTCTCTCAGACTGGTAGGTTTCTACACTGCCTAGATTATTCACCTCAATTAAGTATCTCAGAGAGTTTTCTGTTCCTAATGCATGTGCAATCGCATGTCCTTGGGCTATGGTTAATCCATAGGAAATGTCCCAATGGCAGTAACTGCAAATATTTTTATCACAACCACACAGTAACATTTAATCATAAACTTTTAATTTTTCATACTTTAAAAAGTGTCTCCTCTGAGATTTTGGTCCAACTCCTCACAAACAAGTGTAGAGAAAAAATGTTCACATTTCTTTGGCCAGTAGTTGTATTCATGGACAGAACTTACTCTCTCTGCATTTTGTCCTAAACTGCATTCAGACAAGTGAAATATCCATTTTTAGCTTTTTGTTTTTCAAAATGGCAGCTCTTTATTGGCTTTTAAAGTTAAAATAATACAGAAGTGACCACAGCTTCTCCCCCATTCCAATTCCCTTTAATAAACATTTAACAGTTTAATGTTCTCCTTGACTTTAAAATTACAACATAACATATATATTATGCATAATATTGGGGATCCTGCTTTTACCTCCACACAAGACTATGGAGTGATAAGTGCCTCCATAGGATGGCACTACAAACAATTTCCTGTTTTATCCTTATTACTGGCTAGTATTCTGTCCATCTTAGATGCCAATCTTCACTTCTGAGACTATAGTTAATAGTTTTCTGTGCTCCCTCAATCATTGCAAATATTTTTCTCTTGTCAAACCTACTGCCCTCAATTTTAAATTATTTATTTTCATGTCCATTTCCTTAACCAGAAAGTGAATTCTTCAGAAGCAAAAAATTTGAGTTTAGAAGAAGTTAAAGAAGAATCATTTTTCTTCTTCTATTTTTATTTTTCTTGGAGTTTTACATGTTTGCGATTTAGTCAAATAATTATGTAGAAACCCTGCAGATTTTGCAATGGAACAGCAGAGACTGTCTCCCCACTCATCCCTTTACATGTTTTCCCCGCTTCAGAGGCAGTCATTTCATCTTTCAACTGGTTATTTTGATATTTACCTTCATTTCTCTATATAAAATATTTGCATTGCTATTTCTTGGCTTCTCACTTTTAGGTATTATCTATTGACTTCAGTTAATAAAAAATAAGAATTTAGCTCTTCTTCTTTTCTCCATTCTTTCTCCCACCCTCTCCATACTTTTCATTCCTTTATCTTCTTAATGCAGTTATATTGTACTTTATAAAAAAAATTTGTTTTTACTACAATATAACTATTCACATCTTGGGCAAAATAGTACTGTACACTGTAATGACCTTTTTTCTCCTATGCAGCTTTTTGTTTTTCCTGCAGTTAGTAATTATTTTATTTTAGTTTACTATTCATCACTTAGCCAAGGCCTGGTTTTCTAATGATTGTATAAATCTCTCCCTCCAGAGATTGAGATAGATGAGGTGTTCTATCAGTTTCTCCTCCTCCTCCTCCTCCTCTTCTTCCTTTTCCACTTCCCTTCCCTCTTCTTCTTCCTCCTCTTCTTTTTCTTCTCCTTCTCCTTCTTCATTTTTTGTAGAGGACAATGCATTCAGTTTTATTTCAATCAATCACAACACTTTTTTTCCAACTGCACAAAGTGCATCTAGAATTTGCTATTACAGATAGACTTTTTAAAAGGTTTTCTGTGACAATATGGCACACCTTTCTGAAGGTATCTCTCCTAGAGCCTCTGACTTGTACCAGCCTGTCTAGTGTACAGTCGTCAGAGCATCACTTCATTTTTCTCCTGTGTTGTATCTTGTGTTCTGTATATCCTATATTTTCTTTTTTCTTCATTTAGTCCTTCATTCTAGGGAGTGAAACCTCCAGAAGCTTCCTGAAAAAAGAAAAAGTAAACGAAATAGAAAATTTTTGAAATCTTGAATGTCTGAACATACATTTATTCTTTACCCACATTTGATTGGCAGTTTACTAATCAAGCAAAAAATTCCAGCTTGAAATAAAATCCTTTCTGAAATTTGATAGACTTGCTCCCATGTCTGCTAGCTTTCTTTGTGACTATTGAAAAATTGAAAAATATCCTGAATATTTATCCTTTGTTTTTCTCTCTCAAAGCATAGGGTTGTCTTTTTGCCACCAGGGTTCTGTAGTTTTACAATGATAACCTTGGGGTAAGTCAACTTTTGTTCATTGTGCTAGACACTCCATTGGCCCTTTCAATCTGGAGGTTATGACTTTTACTTTGGAAAATTTTCCTTGAATTATTTTGTTGATGATCGCTGCTTCCCCTAACTCTTGTTAGTTTTTTTTCTTTTGGAACTCTTATTTTTCAGATTCTGGACTCCCTGGATTGGCCCTCTAATTCATTTTTCCTTCCTTCCTTCCTTTCCTTCCTTCCTTTCTTCTTTCCTTCCTTTCTTCCTTCCTTGATTTTATTGATTTATTTCTAGACAGAAAGAAAGGGAGGGAGAAAGAGAGGAAGAGAAACATCAATGTGTGGTTGCCTCCCGATTGCTCCCACTGGGGACATGGCCTGCAACCCAGGCATGTGCCCTGACTGGGAACTGAACCGGTGACCCTTTGGTTCTCAGGCCAGCACTCAGTCCACTGAGCCACACCAGCCAGGGCATATTTTTTTTCTTTCATTTTTTTGTCCTTTTGCTTTCCCCCCACTATTTCCCATTTTCCAACTCTTTCATTGAACTTTTCATTTCTGCTGCTGTATTTTTGTCTCTGAATGCTTCTTTTTAAATACTAATCTGATATTTTTATGGTTGAATGGTATCTCATATCTCAGGGTATTGATTATACACACAATTTTTAAAAAATTTTTCCTCCTGCCCTGGCTGGCGCATCTCAGTGGATTGAGTGCCGCCCTGGGAATCAAAGGTTGATTCCCAGTCAGGACACATGTCTGGGTTGTAGGCCAGGTCCCCAGCATGGGGCTCGCGAGAGGTTACCTCACGTGGATGTTTCTCCCCCTCTCTTTCTCCCTCCTTTCCCCTCTCTCTAAAAATAAAAGAGAAAAGAATAAATAAAATGTTTCCTCCTCACTGAGTGGTTTCTGTTTCCTAAGGGTTGCTGCTCCGCCCCCGCCCCCCGCCCTTTCTGTCACTACGGTACCTTTCACGTAGTTTCTGAAGTTGTCAAATCCCTGGGTCCTCTACCTACCTCTTGCTGTCGTGTAATTCTGTTCCTTCTCCCTGGCAAAGGGCAGGTTTTGGGGCGATCTCTGCCCTGGGTAGAGTGCATATTAGATTCTGAGTCCTTTTACTCCATTTAGCTCCCATGACATTTACAACCAGATTTGTACCCTTCCCGCAGAAAATTGGAGGTTCATCAATAGTTGACTAACCAGCCTTAAAAGAAAAGATCCAAAGATAATAATATTGGAAATATCCCAACTAAAGAGCCCCACCGAGTTACACTAAAGCTAGTCAACAAGCCTCTTCACTCTCCTACAATATCTGAAATATCGTTTAAAATATAAATCGAAATGATTCATATCGAATTTATGGTGTGGAGAAGGAGATACTTTCAATCTCCATCATTAAGGGTGAGGGGGAGGAGGTTTTACGGAGGTTGGGAAGGACCTCTCTTTCTCACGACAGCCTGACGGGAGAAGCCCGCGTCCAGAGAGGCACACTGGGAGCCTGGCCGG